TGAACAGCCAAGAGCCAAACAAAAAACAATAATGATGACGTCAACAAACAGCTCTTTGAACAGACAGCTGATGTGAATGCCATTCAAATATAGTAGATAGATAGTCTACAGAAAAGTTGGTAAGACAACAGTTATTATCTCAGTAAGTAATGAAATCAAAATTATTTCATAAACACATATAGAATATTTTTTATCAAAAGTTAAACTTCACTTCCATCATCACAACAATAACTAATAGATGTAATATTGAAAATTTATGATTGATCAGCATTCGAAAATAGAATTGACTGGAAAATTGATCGTGAATGACTGAATGTGCCAATATTTATTTCATTAGGCAATTATATAAACAGACCTCGGTAATGAGAATAATCAGGAGTTTCACTGTAAGACAGAAACTATCACACGCTACCTAACATTAAATAAAAGTACACTTAACGTTCCTCTTCAGACTCTCGAAGTGATACACTTTTAAATACATACATGTATAGGTCTGTATAAAACCACATCATCCAAGCACGATATTTAGATATCACAATTAATATTCATTCAGCAAACTTTATAATAAAACAAATGTTAAGCTGGGTAGAGGTTTGCCACCGTCCAATCCCCTCACCAGGAATAAATATTCACCAGGAAATATAATCAGACATTTTTTGAAAGCCTATCATACAGCAAGTGAACTTCTCAATTGTTGGAGACTCTGGGGCTCAGAATGTACCACACATCAAGGTTAGAGACTCTGGGGCTCAGGATGTACCACACATCAAAGTTAGAGACTCTGGGGCTCAGGATGTACCACACATCAATATCAGAGCCTCTGGGCCTCAGGATGTACCACACATCAATGTTAGAGACTCTGGGTCTCAGGATGTACCACACATCAATGTTAGAGACTCTGGGGCTCAGGATGAACCACACATCAATGTTAGAGACTCTGGGGCTCAGGATGTACCACACATCAAGGTTAGAGACTCTGGGGCTCAGGATGTGCCGCACATCAATGATAGAGACTCTGGGGCTCAGGATGTACCACACATCGATGTTAGATACTCTGGGGCTCAGGATGTACCACACATCAATGTTAGACACTCTGGGGCTCAGGATGTACCACACATCAATATCAGAGACTCTGGGCCTCAGGATGTACCACACATCAATGTTAGAGAATCTGGGGCTCAGGATGTACCACACATCAATGTTGGAGACTCTGGGGCTCAGGATGTACCACACATCAATGTTGGAGACTCTGGGGCTCAGGATGTACCACACATCAATATCAGAGACTCTGGGCCTCAGGATGTACCACACATCAATGTTAGAGAATCTGGGGCTCAGGATGTACCACACATCAATGTTAGAGACTCTGGGCCTCAGTATGTACCACACATCAATGTTAGAGACTCTGGGGCTCCGGATGTACCACACATCAAGGTTAGAGACTCTGGGGCTCAGGATGTTCCACACATTCATGATAGAGACTCTGGGGCTCAGGATGTACCACACATCGATGTTAGATACTCTGGGGCTCAGGATGTACCACACATCAATGTTAGAGAATCTGGGGCTCAGGATGTACCACACATCAATGTTAGAGAATCTGGGGCTCAGGATGTACCACACATCAATGTTGGAGACTCTGGGGCTCAGGATGTACCACACATCAATATCAGAGACTCTGGGCCTCAGGATGTACCACACATCAATGTTAGAGACTCTGGGTCTCAGGATGTACCACACATCAATGTTAGAGACTCTGGGGCTCAGGGTGTACCACACCTCAAGGTTAGAGACTCTGGGGCTCAGGATGTACCACACATCGATGTTAGATACTCTGGGGCTCAGGATGTACCACACATCAATGATAGACACTCTGGGGCTCAGGATGTACCACACATCAAGGTTAGAGACTCTGGGGCTCAGGATGTACCACACATAAATGCAGATGGGTACATTTGTTTATATTCGCTTTAATCCACAAATAACATAATTAAAACCAAAACCAAATGAAACATTAGTGATAAGTCATTAAAATGAGTTTGATGAACAAATCGTGATCAATAAATAATGCTTTTAGACATTGTAAATATCTTAATAACTTACTAAAGGCAGTGTTTTATCAAAATTGAGGAAGGGAAGTATTTTCTTTTCTTTAAACCAGAAATTATTCAAATGAATCGCATATTAAGACAAGGTACAAAACAGTCTAAGTTTATAATGAAATTTACTGGTAATGTATATTTGATCACCATTTATTAAAAATCACTGACCGGGTATATCATAAATGTTAACCAAGTACACAATAAATGTTGTCTAAATGCACAAAACTTGATGACCACATAAACCAGAAATGGTGACAAAGTACATGATAAACCTTGCCAAGAACACAATAAATGGTGACCAAAAACAAAATGATGACAAAGAACTCAATAAATGTTCACCAAGTAAAAAACAGGAGATAAATAAGGGAATAGTAGTTTGGAGTACTCTGTCAAATTAACAAGAGATATGGAGAGGAATCTTGGCGCCCACCATCATCAGATTTCCATTAGTTCTATGCAAGTTTGATCATTTTTCTTCCTTTCTCTTATCTCTTAGATTCATAGTCTTGTGACAGTGAATGCATCTTTTGATGAAAAATTCATACAACTAAGTTTGAAAGCGTCCTATCCAAAGTTAAGTCAATATTTACTTCTTGAAAATAGCAATAACATACTTGAACTGTCAAAGTAATACATGCACAATTAAGGACCACAAAGAACCTATATACATGTACTAAATTTGAAAAAAAAGTGTCTAGTGGTTTTTTTCTCAGAAATAGCCATAACAATCTTGAACTGTCCCAATCAAAAATGGCTGCCCAGCGGCCATCCTGGTTTTGCAATCAGTCTCCAAAGTAAACATGACTGCCTGGTAGCCGTCTTGGTTATTTTTCAGTCTCAAAATGAAACATGCGCAACTATAGACCTAGGGTAACCTTATGAATCGGATCCATTTGGCATTTTTTGAGAAATAGTGGTAACAAGAATTGTTTAAGGATGGACAATAGGTGATTTATTCAGTCCACCATCATCAGATGGTGAGCTAGTTATATTGCTGTACCTTCTCCTACGTCAATGTCTGCCTCAGGTGATCAATGTCTGCCTCAGGTGATCAATGTCTGACTCAGGTCGGGCAGCATGTCGAGTGCCGGAGTGGTCAGTGGTAAGTCGCTCAGGTCAGGCAGCATGTCGAGTGCCGGAGTGATCAGTGGTAAGTCGCTCAGGTCGGGCAGCATGTCGAGTGCCGGAGTGGTCAGTGGTAAGTCGCTCGGGTCAACAGCATGTCGAGTGCCGGAGTGGTCAGTGGTAAGTCGCTCAGGTCAGGCAGCATGTCGAGGGCCGGAGTGATCAGTGGTAAGTCGCTCAGGTCGGGCAGCATGTCGAGTGCCGGAGTGGTCAGTGGTAAGTCGCTCAGGTCGAGCAGTGGTAAAGTCAATGATATGTGGTTTCCATACTTGAATCATAATTTCAAGTTTTTGAGACAGTTTCAAAACCCACCAAAATACCAATAAACTTAATAGCAAAATATATAGCAAGATCGCATCAATGAAGTCCTAAACATTTCAATTATTACCTGGGAAGTGCTGACATAATTTAGTAAGGGTGATAACGTATAAAGGAATAATTGCAGGCAAGGCTCTTGCTACAGAAGTTGCACCAGTTGGATTAGCTTGGGAAATGCCCTATTCAGACAAATCTCGGGGCCTGTAACAGTGAAACTGCTCTCATTCTCAAACTCTGATTCTGTGCTCAAGCCTTATTTCTTGTTTCATCGATAAATTTCACATTTTCTAAACAATTTGGAAGAATTTCAGAAAAATTACAGCCATATACTATTTTCTAGTGTCTAGTGGGTTTTTTCTCAGAAATAGCCATAACAATCTTGAACTGTCCAAATCAAAAATGGCTGCCCAGCGGCCATCCTGGTTTTGCAATCAGTCTCCAAAGTAAACATGACTGCCTGGTAGCCATCTTGGTTATTTTTCAGTCTCAAAATGAAACATGCGCAACTATAGACCTAGGGTAACCTTATGAATCGGATCCATTTGGCATTTTTTGAGAAATAGTGGTAACAAGAATTGTTTAAGGATGGACGATAGGTGATTTAATCAGTCCACCATCATCAGATGGTGAGCTAGTTATATTGCTGTACCTTCTCCTACGTCAATGTCTGCCTCAGGTGATCAATGTCTGCCTCAGGTGATCAATGTCTGCCTCAGGTGATCAATGTCTGACCCAGGTGATCAATGTCTGACTCAGGTCGGGCAGCATGTCGAGTGCCGGAGTGATCAGTGGTAAGTCGCTCAGGTCGGGCAGCATGTCGAGCGCCGGAGTGGTCAGTGGTAAGTCGCTCAGGTCGAGCAGTGGTAAAGTCAATGATATGTGGTTTCCATACTTGAATCATAATTTCAAGTTTTTGAGACAGTTTCAAAACCCACCAAAATACCAATAAACTTAATAGCAAAATATATAGCAAGATCGCATCAATGAAGTCCTAAACATTTCAATTATTACCTGGGAAGTGCTGACATAATTTAGTAAGGGTGATAGCGTATAAAGGAATAATTGCAGGCAAGGCTCTTGCTACAGAAGTTGCACCAGTTGGATTAGCTTGGGAAATGTCCTATTCAGACAAATCTCGGGGCCTGTAACAGTGAAACTGCTCTCATTCTCAAACTCTGATTCCGTGCTCAAGCCTTATTTCTTGTTTCAGCGATAAATTTCACATTTTCTAAACAATTTGGAAGAATTTCAGAAAAATTACAGCCATATACTATTTTCTTTTTTCCACTTGGACTGTTTTACTTTGACACATTATTTAGGTGAATAACAAGAAAGTTTTGAGCACATAATTCATGCTTGATTGAGCATGAGAATGGTTTCATGAATACAGACCCAGGAGTTGTACTAGTAAAGACTAGTCTCAGAGTTATACCAGTCAGTCTTAGGAGTAAGTCTTGTGAAGTGAGTCATATTCGCTAACTTGATGAAGACACTGCCACTGGTAACGCTACTGTAAGTTGATTGGAGTCTATTAAATCGGATGCCATTATGACTTGAGTGGATTCCTTACTTCTTGACTGTTTGCTATCCTTAGATCCAGGTGACAGTGCCACAGTAATAGGGTTCACTGGGGTTATGGTTATTGGTATAGCTGTGTAGGAACCTCCTGCTCCCTGATCTGGTGCAAAGCTTGTACGTTTATCGTAGGCATCATCATCCTCCGAACGTTCCTTCTTACAGTCACACACAATGGTGATAGGAGGGAGTGTGGTTGGGACAGTGATGTTCTGTGAGGTTTGGGGCAGTACCACTCTGGCTTGCTGATCTGACTCCTTTCCATTGCTAGTAATCACTCGAACAGAAGGCACTACATTTCTTGATGGGACTCCTATCACTGGACCTCCGACTACAGACTGGCCAAGGTTTGCCACAGAGGGAGCGACCAACTGAAGTGCACTCTCAGACTGAAGCCGTGGCCCATCGGGTGTGTTGGCTATTACCTTTGTGATGAGGTAATGTTGTACAGTCACAGATTGCTGGGAGTTATCGGCCTTTGGCACAGACTCTGTAGTGGAGGGTGTAGTACTGCTGTCAGTGGCGGGTATAAACACTTGTACCACTGGCGAGTCCTTGTCAGCCTGTATCATAGAGATGTTACCAGCACCTGTGATTGGAATGGCTTCAACGGTCTGTACTGGAGTATTGACCGGGTTTGTGTCTGGTATGGCTATGACAGGCACAGGAGCCTCATCTGTAGCTTGTAAAGAGTCGTGAGCTAGGGGCTGGGGCAGACTGATAATGGGCTGCACACTGTACACCTGTTGTGACTGGTCTCCTGTGTCCCCTGCCACTATCATGGTTCGTTGCTCTACTGTCCCAAGGACTGTGTTCCCCTCCACATGCATACTTGTCAGACCTGCCAACAAACAAAATCATTCAGCAAGAAATTTTCATTTAACAAAAAATATAACTTCTCTAAGGGTATACTAGTATTTACAATTACAACAAATGTAAATTGAGTGTAACTATTATACTTACAGTAAGCACTGTCTTTAAATATGCTGGTATGATACAGCATTTGATACCGTGACCTAATCTACTAAAACACATTTTCTACAGATTGTAACCCATCAAAAGTCTAATGATACTTCTACAGATTGTAACCCATCAAAAGTCCAGGATAATTCTACAGATTGTAACCCATCAAAAGTCTGATGATAATTCTACAGATTGTAACACATATAAAGTCTAATGATAATTCTACAGATTGTAACACACCAAAAGTCTAATGATAATTCTACAGATTGTAACACACCAAAAGTCTAATGATAATTCTACAGATTGTAACACACCAAAAGTCTAATGATAATTCTACAGATTGTAACACACCAAAAGTCTAATGATAATTCTACAGATTGTAACACACCAAAAGTCTAATGATAATTCTACAGATTGTAACACACCAAAAGTCTAATGATAATTCTACAGATTGTAACACACCAAAAGTCTAATGATAATTCTACAGATTGTAACACATATAAAGTCTAATGATAATTCTACAGATTGTAACACATCTTCATCATCTCCCAAAATAAAATAATACAGTGTTTACTCCTACTGTAGTAGACCATACCAGCAGTGTCTGATGTGTCAGTGGCTCTAGCGGCATCGTCGTGGTTGTAATCGTTTGCGATGGAGTTGAGGAAGTCCTCGATACTGGTGCTGATGTTACTGTCTGGGTTCTGTTACAAAATATAGACCAAACATTTAATCTGTACAAACAAGGACCAATCATAGTTTTTGTTACAAACAGGTACAAATGATAATTATCATAGTGAAGTTCATGAATGGGTTTATGTAGTTCAGTATGGATTATTCCATTAAAATTTAAAGTGGGATCAATTGGTATGCAACAGAGGTTATTATTTTGTTGTTTGAGCCTCTGCTTGGGGGCGAACCTGGGACCTCCCATTTCGCTCTCTACTGAATTATCTAAAAAGAAATTCTCCCTAGCTAAGTCAGGCCAAATAACAATATACCTGTGCTTCCCTTTTCCCAACCGACCCTATTTTTTCATGCCGGCCCTAATACATTGTATTGGGTTTGTCATAGTCACTGTGATGCATTTATTAGCCATTTAATTGTTTTAAGTGTGCATATAATTTGCTATGAATTTTATTAGCCTGGGCTCGTGGTCAGTTTCTGAGTTTTATTTGAAAATAGCGACTAATTAAGTAGCCTAGATAATTGTAGTTATGATATAGGTTGGGATTAGTGTGACCATCTGTAGTCTAGGTGGCGGGAGTCCAGTCTGATGTCAGTGTTAGCTGATACTGACACTCCCCACCCAGTCAAATTTAGCAGGATTAATTTATGGCCATTTGAACCTAGTCATGCAGGGGTCAAATTTTAGCAGGGTTTCAGCAGCATCAACAATTTCAATGTAGCAGGATTTTGCTAAGGGACAAAATAGTAAGGTAGTTTAGCTTGTGGGTCAAAGGAGAGTTGGGTTGGGGAGTTCGAGTTAAGGAGTCTTGAGGATCGAAGGAGGTTGAGTTACAAAAGAGAATGTAACACTGGTGACCATCAGTGGAGTTTGGATTACTGAAAACTAGTGCCAAGCAGTAGGGAAGCCAAGCAGTAGGGAAGCCAAGCAGTAGGAGGGAAGCCAAGCAGTAGGGAAATACATAGGTGTAACATAGTAAATACATAGGTGTAACATAGTAAATACATAGGTGTAACATAGTAAATACATAGGTGTAACATAGTAAATACATAGGTGTAACATAGTAAATACATAGGTGTAACATAGTAAATACATAGGTGTAACATAGTAAATACATAGGTGTAACATAGTAAATACATAGGTGTAACATAGTAAATACATAGGTGTAACATAGTAAATACATAGGTGTAACATAGTAAATACATAGGTGTAACATAGTAAATACATAGGTGTAACATAGTAAATACATAGGTGTAACATAGTAAATACATAGGTGTAACATAGTAAATACATAGGTGTAACATAGTAAATACATAGGTGTAACATAGTAAATACATAGGTGTAACATAGTAAATACATAGGTGTAACATAGTAAATACATAGGTGTAACATAGTAAATACATAGGTGTAACATAGTAAATACATAGGTGTAACATAGTAAATACATAGGTGTAACATAGTAAATACATAGGTGTAACATAGTAAATACATAGGTGTAACATAGTAAATACATAGGTGTAACATAGTAAATACATAGGTGTAACATAGTAAATACATAGGTGTAACATAGTAAATACATAGGTGTAACATAGTAAATACATAGGTGTAACATAGTAAATACATAGGTGTAACATAGTAAATACATAGGTGTAACATAGTAAATACATAGGTGTAACATAGTAAATACATAGGTGTAACATAGTAAATACATAGGTGTAACATAGTAAATACATAGGTGTAACATAGTAAATACATAGGTGTAACATAGTAAATACATAGGTGTAACATAGTAAATACATAGGTGTAACATAGTAAATACATAGGTGTAACATAGTAAATACATAGGTGTAACATAGTAAATACATAGGTGTAACATAGTAAATACATAGGTGTAACATAGTAAATACATAGGTGTAACATAGTAAATACATAGGTGTAACATAGTAAATACATAGGTGTAACATAGTAAATACATAGGTGTAACATAGTAAATACATAGGTGTAACATAGTAAATACATAGGTGTAACATAGTAAATACATAGGTGTAACATAGTAAATACATAGGTGTAACATAGTAAATACATAGGTGTAACATAGTAAATACATAGGTGTAACATAGTAAATACATAGGTGTAACATAGTAAATACATAGGTGTAACATAGTAAATACATAGGTGTAACATAGTAAATACATAGGTGTAACATAGTAAATACATAGGTGTAACATAGTAAATACATAGGTGTAACATAGTAAATACATAGGTGTAACATAGTAAATACATAGGTGTAACATAGTAAATACATAGGTGTAACATAGTAAATACATAGGTGTAACATAGTAAATACATAGGTGTAACATAGTAAATACATAGGTGTAACATAGTAAATACATAGGTGTAACATTCACCGAGGCAATCAGGAGATCTCCTTCTCCACAAAACAAAATAAAATAAAAAAATAAAATAAAATGTTTTCCTACCTACCTACCATATTTTTTTGGAGCCGAAACAGGAATCTCATATATTTTTATTTGGTCTCAGTAGGAAGTGGCTAGTATTTTACCAGTGTGATATGTATAATAGGCCATTTCATCCCCAGTCAAAAGACCGCCATGACAGTTTTACAACCAGGATTAACTATAGGATTTGTGGAGTAACAGTCAGATCAGTATGACCAGTTTGATGATTAAAGACTTGAAAGACCGGAATAAAGCATTAATGACTAGGTTTGTGGATTAACAACCCAATTACACAATTAACAATGTTTGAATGCATATAAGTTCTTCCTTTTTCACATACTATATCCAATGTTAAACAGATCTAGACATCTCTTTGGTTGTCCCATTATCAGTACAAGTAAGTACCTGGTAACTGTCATCGTCATATGATGTAGCTTGGACCCCTGGTGTTTCCGTCTCCAGCTGAATGGCATTGGACAGAAAATGATCAGGACACATGAAACGTTGCAGTGAAACAGTTTACAATATTAGATGAACAGATTCATTATGATAAAGCTATTTGGTCATCTGTAGCCACATTATCACATACATTCTAAACTTGTAAACTATAACAATAGACTCAGTATTACATATCCTTATGACACAATTGGAGTCATTTATCAGAACCTAACCTGCCAGGAGCTTTATAGTGGTCAGGAGTAGGGTGCTAAACTTTTGGTGCCCACAGTGATGAAAAAACACTCCATGAAAGTCAGAGCTATGTTAATTAAATTAAAACCACGCTATCATGACCTCCAAAAGTCTTATTACATTTTTTAGATTTTGTGTCTCAATAAAAAAAATGTGTCCAGGTATGATGCAGTCTATGGATAGATGAAAGGACAGAAGTCTGGACAGAAGTCGACAGAAGTCTGGACAAATGGGTCTGGAGTGGACTGATCTATTACCTCTCCATCCACACCGTCCGCCTTGGCGTGGCGGGTCATGTGTGACTTTCGACTGTGATTGGTTGTAAAAGCTTTAGCACATCCGTCCTGAAGACACGAGAATGGTTTCTCTCCTGTTAACACAACCAGACAGTTCTGTATATATCACGGTTCTACTCCAATCTCTCACAGAAAATTTATATATTTAAGAGATATCTTATACAATCTTACAGTAGATGTTAGGATTTCATCTTCTTTCTTTTTAAATACATCAGACAGAACATGTGAATGACTGTATCCCTGCTGAGACGCCATACAAGTGCATTAATTACCTGTGTGAGTTCGATGATGGGTTTTTAAATGGTGACTAGCAGCAAAGGCTTTGGCACACCCATCTTCTTTACATCTATAAAATATAATACAACAATTATAGCAACTCTGACCCTGATCATTGATCTAATACTTTCTCTAAAACTGTTTCCCTTACCCCATTTCCTTAAGCAACCTATGAATTGATCTGAGTAAAACTTCTTAACACAGGAAACTTTAACATAATGGGTATATAAGGGTACATAATGCCCAGTTATATGTAGAATTTATATACAAAATCCCCAAACAACATTTACTGGTCACAGTTTGGATCAAGATGACAAGTAAAACAAACCTAAGATAAAATCATGACATAAAGGACAAACCTGATCACTTACACAAATGGTTTTTCACCGGTGTGAGTGCGAATGTGTTTTCTAAGGTCACTCAGTGTAGTGAAGTATTTTGTGCAGCCATCTTCTTCACAGTTAAACGTGTTCCCAGAGTGGATCCTCTGATGTGCTCTCAGTCTACAAAAACACCACATGTTATAATGTGAGAATTCTAAAATACAGGATAACTTCACAACTGTTTAGGTTAGCAAGTAACTTGACAATAGGTCAATTATCAAGAGGCTACTAGTATTGCCCACCTGTCTTTTGTTCGTAGTATTTCCCACCTGTCTTTTGTTTGTAGTATTGCACACCTGTCTTTTGTTCGTAGTATTGCACACCTGTCTTTTGTTCGTAGTATTGCACACCTGTCTTTTGTTTGTAGTATTGCCCACCTGTTTTTTGTTTATAGTATTCCCACCTGTCTTTTGTTCATAGTATTTCCCACCTGTCTTTCGTTCATAGTATTGCCCAATGTCTTTTGTTCATAGTATTGCGCACCTGTCTTTTGTTCATAGTATTGCCCACCTGTCTATTGTTTGAAGTATTTCCCACTTGTCTTTTGTTTGTAGTATTTCCCACCTGTCTTTTGTTCGTAGTATTTCCCACCTGTCTTTCGTTCGTAGTATTTCCCACCTGTCTTTTGTTTGTAGTATTGCCCACCTGTCTCTCGTTCATAGTATTGCCCACCTGTCTATTGTTTGTAGTATTGCACACCTGTCTTTCATTCATAGTATTGCCCACCTGTCTTTCATTCATAGTATTGCCCACCTCTCTTTTGTTTGTATTATTTCCCACCTGTCTATTGTTTGTAGTATTTCCCACCTGTCTTTTGTTTGTAGTATTTCTCACCTGTCTTTTGTTTGTAGTATTTCCCACTTGTCTTTTGTTTGTAGTATTTCCCACCTGTCTATTGTTTGTAGTATTGCCAACCTGTCTTTCATTCATAGTATTGCCCACCTGTCTTTTGTTTGTAGTATTTCCCACCTGTCTTTTGTTTGTAGTATTTCCCACCTGTCTTTTGTTCGTAGTATTTCCCACCTGTCTTTCGTTCGTAGTATTTCCCACCTGTCTTTTGTTTGTAGTATTTCCCACCTGTCTATTGTTATCGGAATGAGACAACAGGTTATATGTTTCCACTGCTCAACACCATTGTTACCATCTCTACTGCTCTGTGAGGGGATGGAGGAGCCATAACAGTTTGGACTAGGTACCAATTTGTGACCTTTCAAAGACTAATGAATGGGAGTGGGGGGAGGTTGTTGGGCATGCACATTGTTTCAACAACGCTGAATCCCATTTGCCCAGTGATGCTTCAAACATATTTGGTTCAAATGCCTTCACTGAATATTGAACTGTAAGTCAAATATCTGGCTCAATCTCTTTCAGGGCTTTTAACAGACCCTTGAGAGTATATTTTTGACTTCCCAAAATGAGCTTTGGCTTTTGGATTTAAGGAAAAATCTTATCAGCCATTTAGGTGGTGCAGGATTTTAAAGGAAATAGTTGACGGACATATGATGGAGATAGTTGTAGATAACAGGGTATTACCTGTATAGGGTGTTGAAGGACTTGATACCAGGCTATTACCTGTATAGGGTGTTGAAGGACTTGTGACATTCCCTCTGCTCACATTCGTACGGCTTTTCCTTTGTGTGTACTCGTACATGGATTTTGAGACTGTAGGAGGTGAGGAAAGACTTGCCACATGCAGCTTCATTACAGACAAAGGTATACTCACCTGTGGATAGGTAAGATAAACACCAGATTTAACACACTAAAACACGTACATACATATATACTAACATTTCTATTCAAACACTGATTATAAAACAGAAATAATGATCTCTAATTCAAATTTGCCAATAACATATCCGCAATAACATATTTACTGTGAAGGATCAACAAAACATTGAAAATGTTCACTTGTCCTGACCTTAACTCTACTACCCTTTAGCCATATACGTATACATGTACCATCATGCGGAGTGGCATATTTACCAATTGTTGATCTGAACCGAAAAGAAAGTCTAACACTAGAAATTGTCATAGACAATTTGACGGGTTTTCATGATTGCTAGTTACACGTTGACACTTAATGACAGTTTAGCTTAAACAATATCCAAGAAGAACACATGTATCTACGAATTTTGGTCAACATTTGACTGGCTCAAAATGTAGTTGAAGTCGAAAATGTCCCAGCGAATCAGATGCCAGGGTGGCCATCTTGGATTTTCTGATCGGCATGAAATGTAACAACACTTGTCAGAGCCCTCAAAAGGATCAATTGTACCAATACGGAGTCAATCGGTGCAGCCGTTCTTGAGAAGAAGTCGAAAATGTCCCAGTCAATCAGATGTCAGGGTGGCCATCTTGGATTTTCGGATAGGCACATAAAGTGACATCACTTGTTCGGGACCTCATAGGGATCAATTGTACCATGTAAGGAGTCAATTGATGCAACCATTCTTGAGAAGAAGTCGAAAATGTCCCCAGCCAATCAGATGCCATAACTTTTTAAACATTTGACCTTTGTGACCTTTATAGTCGTGGTGGCCATCTTGAAAATTCTAATCGCTCCAAAATTTAACAACGCTTCGTAAGGGCCCTCAGAGGAATCCATGTACTAATTGTGGTGAAAAATTGCAATGGCAGAATTGGAGAAGAAGATTGTTGAAGTTTGATAAAATTTGTCAGCTTTTCAAAAAGATCACAGGCAATAATGAACACGTCATATGATACAGGAAATGTTTCAGAAACAATAAAGATATCAAATTGATCGGATGGTAATTAACTATTGATTACCAAAAGGATTTTTCAAAAAAGGTGAAAAATGAAAAAGTTTTCAAAATAGATGACCTTTGACTCAATGGGGAGGATTTAAACTTGACCTTTTTCCTCTTTACATGGCATGAGCCAAAGTTAGCCCCCGACCACACTCTATTCATATATTATAACAAAAACACAGTTCTATTTATATTTAAGGATATATGACTGTTTTAAAAAGGTAAAAAATATCGCTTTATAGGTCATGGCGGCCATATCAAATTTTTGATGTAGTTGAAAATACTTCAATGATCTCCAGACCATGACCTACAATATGTCAAAATATCAAGGATATACCTGCTGTCATTTAGGAGAAAAGGCTGTGACAAGATTTGTGTAGAATAATAATAATGATAATAATTAATAATAAAAACATAACAAAAACAATAGGTCTTTTCACAAACAGTGAAAAACCCTAAATACTCCCCACTGTGGCTACACATAAGGATGTCTAAATATAGATGCTGTTATATTGATTTTCAGGTCCCTGTGTCCCCGTCTAGGATGGTCATACAGTATCACTGGTACACGTACCAGTGGATGTACATGTATTGTTACACAGTACCAGGGGTCTAGGAAGGTCATACAGTATCACCGGTACACATACCAGTGGATGTACATGTATTGTTACACTGAACCAGGGGTCTAGGATGGTCATACAGTATCACCGGTACACGTACCAGTGGATGTACATGTATTGTTACACTGTACCAGGGGTCTAGGATGGTCATACAGTATCACCGGTACACGTACCAGTGGATGTACATGTATTGTTACACTGTACCAGGGGTCTAGGATGGTCATACAGTATCACCGGTACACGTACCAGTGGATGTACATGTATTGTTACACTGTACCAGGGGTCTAGGATGGTCATACAGTATCACCGGTACACGTACCAGTGGATGTACATGTATTGTTACACTGTACCAGGGGTCTAGGATGGTCATACAGTATCACCGGTACACGTACCAGTGGATGTACATGTATTGTTACACTGTACCAGGGGTCTAGGATGGTCATACAGTATCACCGGTACACGTACCAGTGGATGTACATGTATTGTTACACTGTACCAGGGGTCTAGGATGGTCATACAGTATCACCGGTACACGTACCAGTGGATGTACATGTATTGTTACACTGTACCAGGGGTCTAGGATGGTCATACAGTATCACCGGTACACGTACCAGTGGATGTACATGTATTGTTACACTGTACCAGGGGTCTAGGATGGTCATACAGTATCACCGGTACACGTACCAGTGGATGTACATGTATTGTTACACTGTACCAGGGGTCTAGGATGGTCATACAGTATCACCGGTACACGTACCAGTGGATGTACATGTATTGTTACACTGTACCAGGGGTCTAGGATGGTCATACAGTATCACCGGTACAGGTACCAGTGGATGTACATGTATTGTTACACTGTACCAGGGGTCTAGGATGGTCATACAGTATCACCCGTACACGTACCAGTGGATGTACATGTATTGTTTCACTGTACCAGGGGTCTAGGAAGGTCATACAGTATCACTGGTACATGTACCAGTGGATGTACATGTATTGTTACACTGTACCAAGGCAAATACACATAGCATGCTTTACTTTAAATCGTCATTGCTTACGATATATCTTTAAACAGATAAAAGACCTCATGCTGCCTGTTACTATAGTGCTCATATGGATAAGGCAGATTGTGAGATTTAAACAATATTTTTTCCAGAAACAAAACTATCAAATTTGAAGTCTAAGCTTTTAATTTTCTATAAGGCTGTGAGATAATCATTTCTCCCACCCTTCACAGGTTCATTCCCGTTTTTGGTAGGGAAAAGATAAACCTGTCTTGATCTACCTCGATCAAGACAGCTGACACGCGCTATTACGTCACAGACAACGCACTTCTATCACCATGACCTGTGACCCTGTGCACTTTCAGCAAAAACGATTTCATCATCACCTTTTACACACATGTAATACACATGTAAACAAACACTGTATAATGGCAAGCTCAACATCCCGACAATTCAAAATAGGCGAGTGTGTTACCGTAGGAAGAAATGGTGAAAAGGGAAGAATTGTAGATGAAGTTAAACCATTAGGAACGTATGTTATGTACAAAGTGCAATTATTTGGTAACGGTACTATCGTTACATCGTCGAAGCATGAATTGGTAAAAGGGCTAGCAGACGACGAACTTGAGTTTGATATGCTTGATTTTGATGTGAGCAAATATCTGAGTGAAATATCCCATGCAGAAACAGAGGCAATGCTACATGAGTTAGAGCAGGGACAATCTGAATCAATGTTGACCCCCCGACGATCACATACAACCCTGCGTTGCTGGGAGATTTGTTAACATGGACGAAAATGACTTAAGAAACTTTGTGGACCAAAACGAGAATATTAACACGAAAAAGAAAACTCTTTGTCATATGAAACTGTTTGAACATTTTCTGAACGACGTAAACGAATTGCGCCAAATGCACCAAATCCCAACTACCGAACGCGATTCGCACCTTTCAAAATTTTTAATTTGTGTACGACAGAAAGATGGTAGCGAGTATCAACCCAGTTACTTAAGAGGGATGCTTGGCTCGTTTGAAAGGTATTTAAAACGTCATAGATATGGGTATAGTTTGATTTCCAGTCATCAGTTCGCAGGCACGAGAGAGGCGCTCAAAACCAAACAAAAAGATTTAAAAAAGAAAGGAATGGGGAATAAACCAATGGCAGCGGATGTTATCACCGATTCTGAAATAAATACTTTGTATGAGACAAAACAGCTAGTTAAAGACACACCTGAATCTCTGCTGAACACCGTATGGTTTAACAACATGCTTCATTTCGGGATGAGGGGAGGAGATGAGCACAGACAGTTATGCTGGGGTGACCTAAAACTTGGATATGACCAGGAACTTGAAAGAGAATTTTTACAATTTAACGAAAGACAGACAAAAACACGGACAGGTATAGACGTTACAAACACAAGGAGTACAAAGCCAGCAATGTACGCGGAACCCGGTAGTGACAAATGTCCAGTAGAAACGTACAAAGCTTACAAGGAAAAGCGACCTGTCAATTTTTGTGATGACGAACACCCATTTTACCTCGGTACGGTGACGCACAGCAAAACTCCCCACC